CAGCTCTTCAGCTCAAGGCTAGCGCTCTACCACTTGAGCCACAGCGCCACTTCTGGCTTTTTTTCTTTTTGCTTATGTGGTGCTGAGGAATCAAACTCAGGGCCTCATGCATGCAAGGCAAGCACTCTACCACTGAGCCATCTTCCCAGTCCAGTTTCCTCTCTTTGAAATAGGGTGCTGCCTGAATTAACCTAGGGATCATGCTTCAGGTGAAGTGAAGTGGTACCTTCAAAGCACCTGTGATTAGCCGCTAAGTCAAGAAGACATGATGGTGGCCTCCAGGAGCTCCGCCCCTCACTAGCTTCCCCACTTATTAACTTTGGGCGTGAAGCCTTTAAGCACTGAGTCTTGACTTTTTCATCTGTGTAATGGCTTCAATACACTCTGCCTCCCAGGACAGATCTCAGAATTACAGGGTACAGAGCAGATGTTCTAAGTCTTTGTCATTGCTTTGGTAGACTGCATGAGAGAGAAATTTTTGTAGGTTAGGTGCCTGCTGGGCCTCAGGTAAGAAGTGCCAGGTCTGGGAGGAAGAGAGGAGCTGGAGTGCCTTAGAGGAGAAAGGCTGAGTCGGGCACCGGTGGCTCACGCCTGTAATCCTAGCTACTGAGGAGGCTGAGATCTGAGGATCATGGTTCAGAGCCAGCCCGGGCAGGAAAGCCTGTGAGACTCTTATCTCCAATTAACCCCAGAAAACTGGGAGTGGTGCTGGGCTCAAGTGGTAGAGCGCCCATCTTCAGCTAAAGAGCTCAGGGACAGCGTTCAAGCCCAGAGTTTAAGTCCCATGATTGACAGGGGAAAAAAAAAAGGCTAAGCCAGTAGTCAGAGCAGCAGTGGTGGCTGGGCTGGCAAGGGTGTTTCTCAGGTAGGCATATTTGAGAACCAGAGAAAGGAGTCCAGCCTGCGGGTTGGAGCACTGGTATGTGTGTGTGCAGGTTAGGTGAGGGTGGCAGGCTGGATGGCTAATGGGATGTGGGGCTAACCATGCTGCTCTGAGCTTCCCCCACATTCTTTTCTTCATCTTGCAGGTTCATCTACGAGCTGGAGCACTTCAATGGTGTGGCTGAGCTACTGGAGATCTTAGGAAGGTGACTCATCCTGGCCTCAGCTGGCGCTGAGAGTTGGGGGGAGAAGGGAGGCTGGGGCTCGGTGGCTGAGCCCTGCTCCTCTCTTCTGCTCCCTCTCAAGCATCATCAATGGCTTTGCATTGCCCCTGAAGACTGAGCACAAGCAGTTCCTGGTTCGTGTCCTCATCCCCTTGCATTCCGTCAAGTCGCTGTCTGTCTTTCATGCCCAGGTAAGGCCCAGGCATAGCCCTGCCACAGCAGAGTGGGGGAATGTGGGGTACCAGTGGGGCCAGGATGTCAGCCCCACACTCAAGGGATTCTGTTCCACCTTCATGCCTACTAATTTCAGTCCACTCTACTTTGGATTTCCTGCTGGCCCTTTAAGGCTGACTCCATACATGAGTGCTGTGCTGCCTTCCTCAACCCTTCCCTCTCTGCCTGCCCACCTTCAGGGTGCTTCTTGCCTCCTTCTGGATGGTCTCAGAGATTAGGATGCAGAAGTCTGTGTGTAAGATTGATAAGGGTTAAACGTGCTGCTTCGTGGTCCCAAGCATCCGGAGCATGGTGTTCCTGTGTGCACTAAGTGCTCAGTGAACAAGGTACCCCTGGCCCCTCCTGACCCTGTCCTCCTTCTCTCCACCCTGCCCCCCTGCAGCTGGCATACTGTGTGGTACAGTTCCTGGAGAAGGATGCCACCCTGACAGAGCATGTGAGTGTCGGGGCGGGGGGGAAGGAGGGGGGAAGGTGGGCCCCGCACTGTGCAGGCCTGACAAGATTCTTGTGCCTCAACTCCACAGGTGATCCGGGGACTGCTCAAATATTGGCCCAAAACCTGCACCCAGAAGGAGGTATGGAGGGGGTTTTGACACCCCAAGGAGGGAGGCTGGGAGGGCTCAGTTCCAGAAGGCAGGTGTGTGTTGCTGGGAGGGGGAGGGGGAATGTGAGCCACTGCCTCCACCCCTCCTGCAGGTGATGTTCCTGGGCGAGATGGAAGAGATTCTGGATGTCATTGAGCCCTCTCAGTTTGTGAAGATCCAGGAGCCCCTCTTCAAGCAGGTGGCTCGCTGTGTCTCCAGTCCCCATTTCCAGGTATAGGGCAGGGACAGGTAGCAATGAGTGGGAAAAGGAATAGTCTGTGAAGGATTGCCCAGTCTACGAAGCATAGTTTCCTCTCCCCGTTTCTTCTCCATAGAGTGCTGGGTTTGGTATTGGGGAGACGCTTGACTTAGGGTCAGAAGCCCTAGGGTAAAGCTTCAGGTCTGCGTTTTACTGGCTGGGGTCCTTAGACAAACCACTTCACCACTCCATAGTGGTTTCTTTATCTGTGAAATGGGCCAAGAGCAGTCTCTTCACAGAATAGTGATGGGGACCAAAATTCATGACTGTTAACATGTATGGTAAATGGTTTTCTTAGTGGCCATAGATTTCCTTAGTCCTGTGTGAGGACTTGGTGTGGCTTCCCCACACCATCTCAGCAGCTGTAACTCACGCATGTGGTCAGACACTCTCCTGTTATAAGCATAAAGCAATGGAAGTAGTTTTGGAGGGATTCTGGTAATCTCTGTGTGTGTGTGTGTGTTGTGTGTGTATGCATTTGCGCACGTGCGTGCCATTATTAGGGCCTGAACTCAGGATCTTGCTCTCTTGCTTAGTTTTCTTTGTTCAAGGTTGGCACGCTACCACTTCAGACACACTTCTAGTTCTGCTTTGGGCTAGTTAATTGGAGTCATGGGTTTATCTGCCTAGGCTGGCTTCAAACTGGGATCCTCAGATCTCAGCCTACTGAGTAGCTAGGATTACAAATGTGAGCCACCAGCACCTTGCTAGTACTAAATTTTATTAAATACTTCAAAGTCCAGCAGCTCATTTTATTCCAACAGCCTGGTGGAGGTGCCTATTATTAGTTCCATTTTACAGATCTGACAAATGAGGCTGAGAAGCTGAATGCCTCACCTCAGTATAGTGGAAGCTGTAGTAGAATTAGGATTTGCTAAAGTGTTGGACTCCAATCTCAGGACTCTGCTCTTTTCCCATATTTTCCTCTAGTGGGTAGCATAAGCCCTCAGGATGGGATGAACGAGGCCTGGGTTTGGGGAAGGCTTGCATATACCCAAGCCTGCCAGGCCCACTCTACCATCTTGCCTGTCCAGGTTGCAGAGCGGGCTCTGTATTTCTGGAATAACGAGTACATCCTGAGCCTCATTGAGGACAACTGCCACACTGTGCTGCCTGCTGTGTTTGGGACCCTCTACCAAGTCTCCAAGGAGCACTGGAATCAGTGAGTACCCAGGCCTTGCCCTAACCCTTAGAAACCAGGACCAACCCAGCCTCTGGACCTCTTAGCTGCACAGCATTAGAGCCAGGGGCAGAATGGCAAGGGATAGTAGAGGACAGGGAAGTGGGCAGTGCTGTGGTGTTTGGGGATGGGGATAGACAGACCGCCAGAGAGGGAGTTGAGGTCACATTGACATTTAACGTATCTTCTCACTCCTCACCTTGACTATGCGAAGAACCATCGTGTCTCTGATTTACAATGTGCTCAAGACCTTCATGGAGATGAATGGGAAACTGTTCGATGAGCTCACGGCCTCCTACAAGCTGGAGAAGCAGCAGTGAGCACTGGGGCTGGGTGTCAGAGGAGGGACAAGTGGGCAGGAGGGAATATAGAAGGAAACCCCAACTCTGTGGTCAGATGTCCAGTCCCCCCCTCAAGTGCCAGCTGTCCTATTCCTAACTGCCCACCACATCCTCTGGCCTTCTTCCCGGTAGCCTGTCTGGCGCTGACCTGCAGTTTCCCTCTGCAGCTGTGTCCCCTCACAGACAGCTCATCTTCTCATGCCTCCCAGCTCTTAACCTCAGCAGCCCCCACTGAGCCACATGAAGTGGCTCCCCTTTGCAGCGGGGTTGGGCGAGGGCAGGTGGGCAGGTGGAAACCCCAGGGAGAGGAACTGCCTCACCTTCTCTCCCCAGGGAGCAGCAGAAGGCCCGGGAGCGCCAAGAGCTATGGCAAGGCTTGGAGGAGCTGCGGCTACGCCGGCTACAGGGGACCCAGGAAGCCAGGGATGCCTCCCTCCCACGGCTAGCACCCCAGGTGGCCACCAGTGGGGGTCAGAGCTAGAGAGCCCCCCGGAAGGGGAGAAGCAAAGCCCAGAGCCATCAGTCCCTCTATTCCATCTCCTGGCCAGGGTCCAGAGGGACACCTGCCTCCCCCTGGCCTTGCCAGAATGGCTCTGAGGACGCCCTGCAGGCCCGCGTGGGCAGCTTTCATTGGGGGAGAAGAGAAGGCAAGATGGTGGTCTCAGCAGCGGACCTTGCAGGCCCTGTGGCAAGACTTAAGCAGGGCGGCTTGACTGGGAAGCCATCAGCACTCTTTCCCAGCCTGCAGCACTGGGCTCTGCAGGCAGGATCCCACCCCGGTCCCTGCTGGAGCAAGGGTCCTCAGGACCTGGCCTGCCCCTGCCTGGGACTGAAGCCAGGTCCTTCCTCACCCCTACCGTGGGGCCCATGGTCTATTTATTCTGCCCCGCTCACCCTCAGCAAGACACTGTCCTGGCCCTGGGGCACCTTCTTCCCTCCTCTCCCTTGCCCTGAACTTCCTTATCCCCTTTTTATTTATTGGGCAGGGGGAGGGGTGAGGGCACAGGCAAGAAGAGGTGGACAATGTCCTAGGGTCAGGGGTCACAGGAATCATGGTCTATCTCCCTCCTCTGGTTGGGGGACAGACTTAATAAAGAGAGACTTGAGAGCTGGTTGCTTTATTGAGGGGCCCAGGAGGACATGGAGTGATGGGACACAAACTGGGTGGAAGCCAGGCAGAAACAAAGAGAAGGCAGAACTCCTCATGAGGTGACCATTCCAAACAGCAGCTGTGACCCTGGTTAAAAGGACGCCATGGCCACGAGGCCCAGCGGCTAGTAGCGGGACAGGCGACACATGTCACACTGGCAAGCCCTGGCAGTGAAGATCTCCAGTTCTCCCTGGCGGTTTCCCGCACATCTCAGCTGCACCTTCACCTGTAGGCGAGGGGACCCACACTCATCCCATTCCCGGCCTCCTCCTGTCCACCCCGGCACCCCTGGCTCAGGCCCCTTACCTTCTCTAGGCCGCTGATGGTACAGCACTGAGAGACGGAGGTGATGTTGTGTTGATAGCTGCTGGCCACCAGCACAGAGTACCGGGAAGGGAACGCACTAGACTCGCAATGGCCCACACAGGCCTGGGCCACATGGGAGCCCTGGCAGGTGCCTTGGCGGTCGCTTCGCATGGTCACGTTGAAGGCTGGAAGCAGAGAGGCAAATGGGCTGTAAAGGCATGACCTGTTGTCTGAGCCTCCTGGTGGGTCCCTGCAGGGTGTAGCCTGCCTGCAATCCAGTCCGCCAGCTCTGTGCCCACCCAGAGGTCCTCCCTCCCCAGCCCTCTGGCAGGCCCCCCCGTTACTCACAGTGCAGGTAGCAGCCTGGGATGGCTGTCTCCTGACCCTGGCCTTCAGAGACAACCAGGACCAGCAGGCTGAGGAGCAGGGCTGGGAGGGATGCCATGGGCCTCTGCACTGTAGAAATACTAGGTGGGGTCTTCATGGGGCTGTGGGTGTCGGGTGCAGTTAGACACCAACTGCCTCCCATGAGAGGGCTAAGCTGCTCTTTCTGAGAGGTGAGGAGTGTCTACCATTGAGGGAGTGTGTGCGAGCACAGGCGTGTGTATCTGTCACCTGCCTGGGTCACTGGATGAGTGTGCCAGCCCTCTCTGGATAGGACTTGTGCATCAGCCAGATTCTCTCCTGGAATTACCTTAGCCTTGGGGTCATAAGCATATTCCTCCCTCATGCCCCAGCTCAGCCTCCAGAACCTGGACCCATATTTCCCCCCACCCCTCACCATAACACCCCCATCCAGTTTCCCTTCACCCTGTCCCCCAGAGCTCACCAGTACTCCCCAGCCTGGCGGGAACAGTGCAGGCAGCTCACAGGCCTCCAGTGCCTCCTGTAGGTGTCCGTGCCTGCTGCTCTCCACTCTTATATTTGTAGTTTCTGGTGCCACGCCCTCCCAAAGAGGAGATCCAGCTCCCAGGCGCCTCCCAGCCTGAGGCCCCTGGGAGCTGTGCTCTGAGATGCCGTCCTCAGAGAGTGGCCTCTGCTGCTTATTCCTTCCTCTGCTCCACAGGCTGCAGCTGTGGGGCTGCAGAGGCCAGGTGGAAGACAGCCTGGGCTGCTGAGGGGGTGAGAGGCTGCTGTCTAGACACCTGGGTTCTGCTGTTCTTGTGATCTTGGGCAGTCACTTCCTGGTTCAGGCCCTTGCCCACACCCTGCCTTAGAAGGATTCAGTTGGGCCTGGGTCCCTTCCTGAGTGGGGAGGGGATGCCAGGATCTGGGGACATCTCACCAGTGCGGATCCTCAGTGGTGCTGGGTGGTAGAGCACAGCGGGGGCACTGAGTGCATTCAGAGCCTCCCTTCCAGTGTTCAGTGAGTGTCTGCTCATTCTGAAGGGGCTCTGAGCTACAGGTTCCTTTGGAACAGCAGGAACCTGACTCCTGAAAGAGCCTGAAGCTGTCAACTTCAGCAAATCTATGTCGTCCAACTCCTAATTCCAGTTTTTTGTTGTTGTTGTTGCTGGTTATGGGGCTTGAACTCTGGACCTGAGCACTGTCCCTCAGCAATTCAACCCAAGGCTAGTGCTCTACTACTTGAGCCACATCACCACTTATAGTTTTCTGGTGGTTTATTGGAGATAACAGTTTCACGGCCTTTCCTGCACGGGCTGGCTTTGAACCTTGACCCTCAGATCTCAGCCTCCTGAGTAGCTAGGATTACAGGCATGAGCCACTGGTGCCCACCTCCAACTCCAGTTTTAAAAGCAAGGCTACTAAGGCTCAGAGGAGAAAGTTGCTGAAAATCACAGCTAATTAAGCAGACTGATATGACTGTCCAGCCATACTGCTGAATTATGCTTGAGACAATGATATGGCAAGAACTGGGCACCAGTGGTACATACCTGTAATCTTAGCTACTCAGGAGGCTGAGATTTGAGGATCACAGTTTGAAGCCAGCTCCAACAGAAATGTCTAGGAGACTTGGCAATTAACCAGAAAAATGCCAGGATAGTGGCATGGTTCAAGTGGTAGAGTGCCAGCTCTGAGTGAAAAGACAAAAGCCCAAGGATCTGAGTTCAAGCTCTGGTACCAGTATTTTAAAGATAAAAATGAAAAAAAAATGTGGTAAATTGAGAAACAAAAAGTCCTAGTTAGCAGAGATCAGAAGGAGGCAGTCTAGGAGCTCACCAAATCTACCCCCTCCCACACCCCCATTTTTCCAGATGAAGTAATGAGCTCAGAGAAGAACCGTTTTCCCAAGGCCTGAGTCAGGGTGGGTGGGGTGCTCAAACCTCCAGACTGGACTTGTGCTTTTCAGCAGGCCATGTTTAGGTTAACAGGGCAAAGACAGTAAATACCAGTTAAGAAGAATTGGTGTCATGTCACTCCTAAGCCTCAAATAGCTATACCCTATGGCATCCCCTTCCCTGTACTGGTCCTGAGTGGATTTCCAGGCCCTCCCACAGTGACCCACCTCCTCTCTCTGCTGAAGGTAGAGGAGGGCTCAACAGGGCTGCCTCCACTCCCCCACTCCTTAGGAACCCTCTGGCATGTGCCAAGAGATTAGCAGTTTAAAGCTCACTACCTCACAGGCAGCCCATTCCAATTCTGGACATCTCAAATAGTTAAAAAGTGATTCCTTTGTCTGAGCTAAAGTGAGTTTCCCTCAATTATTTTGGTTCTTGGAGCACACAAGTCTAAGATCTGTCCCAGACGGGCCTCTGGCTGAAGACAGCTTGGGTGCCTTGACTGTTCCAGGGGCCCTAACTCTCACTGCCTGCTTCCTCATCTGATAAACAGTGTGACCCACCAGAGACCACAGTGACAGACATCTGGGAGCATTTGTCTGTGGAGGCGACGCTGAACTGGGGAAGATGTCATATCTTTTGGAGCAGGGCTCAGGACAGTGAGTCTTCCCCTAATCCCTGGCAGGAAGCTGGGATCAGGTACAGACTCCTCTGCCCAGTGTGACTCTGGAACCAGCAGCCAGGTGACCAAGGGGAAGGTCTATGCATGGCTTCCTCTGTTTGTTCTCTCTTACTTTCTACTTGACCAAATACAATCAATAATACTTCAAGTGTAATTTATTGACGTTAGGATCCTAAGGTGCTAGAGACACTGCCTGAGGGCTATTCTCAGACTAGAATATTTTAGAAAGTCTCAATTTTTTTTCCAGTTGTGGGGCTTGGACTCAGGGCCTAGGCCCTGTCCCTGAGTTGTTTTTTTTTTTCTCCTCTCAAAGCTAGTGCTCTACCACTTTGAGCTATAGTGCCACTATCAGTTTTCTGGTAGTTAACTGACGATAAAGAGTCTCACAGACTTTCCTGCCAGGGCTGGCTTTGAACCACAATCTTTAGATCTCAGCCTTCTGAGTAACTAGGATTAGAGGTGTGAGCCCTCAGCTCCCAGCTTCCTTAATGTTTTAGACAAGACAAAACTAAAGCAAAACAAAGAGGACTTAATGTGGGCCCCTAATCTCTGTAACTAAAGAGAGAAGTCACAAGAAAAGTATGAAAGCTGGGTGTGGTAGCCCATGCTTGTAATCCCAGCACTTGGGAAGCTGAGGGAGGAGGGTTGACAGCTGGCTAGCCTAGGCTGCACAACAAAATACTGTCTCCAAAAATAAAAGGAGAACCAAAAAAGGAAAAGGATGGAGTTGGAGAGGGAATGCTTTAGGCAGGAGACCCCCTTTCCACTGTTGTGGGGCATCGAGAAGACTCACTGGTTGCTCTTCTTGAAGAAATACCGGAAGGGGAAGAGAGTGCTGCAGGAAGGAGAATAATAGATAGGCTGAGACTGGGATCTCTTCCCCTCTCTGCTTCCCATTAGTACCTCATTAGTCAAGGCACTTTGCTCTGGGGAACCAATGAATGGAAATTCAAGTCTGGAACAGCATTTGAGAAGGTGCCTAAATTAGATTATACTCAGGAGGGGAAAATAAAGGAAAAAGGATTGCGGTAGGATGGATGGGCTCCGTGACAGAGGGATGTGTTCACTGCCCTCTGCAGAAAGAATTGTGAAGACACAACCTGGATTCAGAGGGGAGAATGGAAACTTTTCAGTAACCAAATCTTTTTTTTTTTTTTTTTCCAGTCCTGGGGCTTGAACTCAGGGCCTGGGCACTGTCCCTGAGCTTCTTTTTGCTCAAGGATAGCACTCTGCCACTTGAGCCAAAGCACCTCAGTAACCAAATCTTACAAAAACCCAAGTAAAATAGGAAGTCTCAGTTCAAGCAACGTTTATGGATTCAGGCCGCACACTGGCACATCTGAGTGGGGATGAATTGCTCAAAAATGAGCCGGTGGCTCACATCTGAAATCCTACCTATGTGGGAGGCTGAGTGAGATCTGAGGATCTTACTTTGAAGGGAGCCAGGCTGGAAAGTCTGTGAGACACTTATCTCTAATTAAAAACCAAAGGCCAGAAGTGGAGTTGTATCTCAAGTGTTCCCCAGCCTTGAGCAATAAACAAAAACAAAAACAAAAAACCTCAGGGAGGGGCTGAAGGTGGCTCAGTGGTAGAGTGCTTGCCTTGCATGCATGAGGCCTTGGGTTCCATTCCTCAGCACCACATAAGCAGAAAAAGCCAGAAGTGGTGCTGTGGCTCAAGTGGTAGAGCACTAGCCTTAAGCTGAAGAGCTGAATGACAGCACCCAGGCCCAGAGTTCAGGCCCCACGACTGACAAAAAAAAAAAAAAAATCTCAGGGATAGACCTACCCAGTCTGAGTTCAAGCCCTAGGACCAGCACCAAAAAAAAAAAGGAAAAAAGAAAAGGAAGACACTTTTTTTCTTTTTCCCATCCTGGTGCTTGAACTCGGGGCTTGGGCACTGTCCCTGAGCTTCTTTTGCTTGAGGAAACTCTACCACTTGAGCCACAGCACCACTTCCAGCTTTTTCTGTGAGGAATTGAATCCGGGGCTTTTTGCACGCTAGGCAAGCACTTACCACTGTGTCACATTCCCAGCCAAGACCATCCTTATTAAAATCAAAATTAGGTTCGGGGTGGTGTCTCAAAGGCTGGCCTATAATCCTAGCTACTTGTGAGGCAAAGAAAGGAGGTTTGAGGTCAATCTGGGCAATAAAGTTAGTGAGGCTTTCTCAAAGGACAAATCATTCCTGGTGGTACACCACTGTAGTTCCCATAGGAATGCAGGAAGCCCAGGAAGGAGTTCACAGTCCCAGGCTGGTCTGGGCAAAAAGCACGAGACTTTATCTGAGAAATAACTAAAGCACTAATGCAAAAAGAGTGGGGGCATGGATCCTATGGTAGGGGGCCTACCTAGCAAGGATGAAGCTCTCAGGTCTAAACCCCAACAACAAAAAAACCAAAAACCAGAAACAAAACCAAACCTAACCCCAACCATACTGGAACCATTGCTTTCATCTCATTCCCATGATCCATCTCAACAGAATTAAGAAACTTCAGCAAGTAATCTGCTTTCTTCTTTCTTCCCTCTCCCTGCAAGGCTCAGGAGATGAGCTCTTAGCTTAATAGCAGAAGGGTGTCTTACCTCAGAAACCCAAAGAAGCCACTAGTTCCTTGCTTTTTTGGTGGAGGAGGGGCGTTCTGCAGCACTGACGGGACGCTTGGCTCTGGCAGGCCGTATCCCCACTTAGAAGCTGTAAAGAAAACACTCAGGCAGGAAAAGGGCCTGTCATGGCCGACTTTCATCTGAGGAGAGATGGCAGGGCAGCCTCACACCAAGGTTTATTTAAAGCCAGGTGAACTGTTTGTTCTGACCTTTCCAATTTCATCTCAGCTCAGTAAGATTCTATTCTGACTTTGGAGTTTTCAATATCGTGAGATATTGACATAGCTCAAATACCAGCCTATAGGTGGTATGTTATTTATGTGTGTGTGTGTGTGTGTGTGTGTGTGTATGACACAACTCAGAGCTTCACACTTGATAGGTTGGTATTCTACCAGTTGAGCTACACTTCTAGTCCTGATATTTTTTAGGTCATTCGTGGGACTTGAACTCAGGGCCTGGGCACTGTCCCTGAGCTCTTTCTAGTCAAGGCTAGTGCTCTACCACTTTGAGCCACAGCTCTACTTCTGGTTTTCTGGTGGTTAGTTGGAGATAAGAGTCTCACAGACTTCCTTCCTAGGCTAGCTTTGACCCATGATCCTCAGATCTCAGCCTCCTGAGAAACTAGGATCGCAGGCATGAGCCACCAACACCCGACTCTTTTTTTTTTCTTTGGTCAGTCATGGGGCCTGAACTCTGAGCCAGGGCGCTGTCCCTCAGTTCTTCAGCTCAAGAGAGTGGTAGCTAGCGCTCTACCACTTTAGCTACAGCACCACTTCTGGTTTTTTCTACTTATGTGGTGCTAAGGAATAGAACCTAGGGCCTCATGCATGCAAGGCAAGCACTCTACTACTGAGCCACCTTCCCAGCCCATCTTTGTTTCTTTTGTCTAATCTTTTTTTTTTGTCAGTGATGTCCCCTCAGCTCTTCAGCTCAAGGCTAGCAGTCTACCAATATGTGGTACTGAGGAATTGAACTCAGGGCCTCATGCATGCAAGGCAAGCACTCTACCACTGAGCCACCTTCCCAGCCCCAGCCATCTTTGTTTTTTTGAAGATGGGAGTCTTACAGACTTTTCTGCCAGGGTTGGCATCAGACCATGATCCTCCAGATCTCAGCCTCTTAAGTAGCGAGAATTATAGGTGTTAGCCACTTGTGCCTGGCAAGCTGGTATGTTTTCACATGGAATGACAACTGGTCCAAATACTCACTTTCATACACAGTCCTACAACGTGCTTCTATACCCACAGCTCCACTTCTGTGATAACTGTAGCCCACACTGAGTCCTCATGCTGGGTAAAAGATGAGAAAGTTGAGCCTAGTGCCAGTGGTTCATGCCTGTAAACCTACTCAGGAGGCTGAGATCTGAGGATCAAGATTCAAGGCCAGATCACAGATAATGTCTGTGAGACTTTTTTTTGGTTGGTCGTGGGGCTTGAACTTTGGGCTTGGGCGCTGTCCCTCAGCTCTTCAGCTCAAGGCGAGTGCTCTACCGCTTAAGCTACAGCGCCACTTCCGGTTTTCTGGTGATTTATTGGAGATAGGAGTCTCACAGTCTTTCCTGCCCGGGCTGGCTTTGAACCGCAACCCTCAGATCTCAGCCTCCTGAGTAGCTAGGATTACCAGCATGAGCCACCAGCGCCCAGCTTGTGAGACTCTTATCTCCAATTAACCACCACCAGAAGTCCAGCTGTGGCTCAAGTAGTAGGCATTATCCTTGAGCGCAAAGCTAAGAGATAGTGCCTAGGGCCTTAGTTCAAGTCCAAGGACTAACATACATAGAAGAAAGAAAGGAAAAAAGGAGGGCTGGGAAGGTGGCTCAGTGGTAGAGCGCTTGCCTTGCATGCCTGAAGCCCTGGGTTTGATTCCTCAGCACCACATAAGCAAAAAAAAAAAAAAGCCGGAAGTAGCACTGTGGCTCAAGTAGTAGATCACTAGCCTTGAGCTGAAGAGCTGAGGGACAGCGCCCAGGCCCAGAGTACAGGCCCCACAACCAGACCCCCCCAAAAAAAAAGAAAGGAAAAAAGGAAGGAAGGAAGGTAGAGAAAGAGAGAAGAAAAGAAAGAGAAAAAAGAGAGAGAAAGAAAACAGAGAAAGAGAAAAAACAGAAAGCAAGCAAGCAAGAAAACAAAAGTAAAGAAAAGGAAAAGCCAGGCACTGGTGGCTCATGCCTGTAATCGTAGCTACTCAGGAGGCTGAGATCTGAGGATCACAGTTCAAAAACAGCCTGGGCAGAAAGGCGGTGAGACTCTTATCTCCAATAAAACACCAGAAAACTGGAAGTGGTGCTGTGACTCAAGTGGTAGAGCCTTGAGCTGAAGAGCTGAGGGACAGCACCCAGGCCTAGAGTTCAAGCCCCACGACCAACAACAACAAAAAAAAAAAAGAAAGAAAGAAAGGGAAAACTAGACCTTTCAATTTTCCTACAAAACTTTCCATCTTATTCAGAAATGCTCTGAAACCATGGGAACATCAATTTCACCATCAGAAGTACAGGACGGGGCATGCTGCCTCCTTTCACTACTTAAGGAAGTGGGAGTAGGGCTTCTGTGATTCTAGGATTGGCACCAGGCTGGAGAATGGCCAAAGGCATCTCACCCACACAGGAGCAAGGCACATTGCCCAAGGGTACCTAAATGCAGAGAGCTGTGCCACTTTGCTCAGCCAAGCATTATGGGGAGCCAGATGGTTATTAAAGGAGAATAAGCATGAATCCTCTACAACTTACCTTGTTCCTGGATGTCAGGGATATCAAAGGCTGGGGTCTCCTGCCATTCCTGCTGGGTTTCTCTTTCCCTGTTCTGATAAGAAAACCAAAGAAAAGTCTTAAATTTTATCCTGTTAGGGCCCAGGATATGAATGCTATTTCACATCAGCACTGGGGCCTAGTTTCTGACTGGCCAAGCAGGCCCTATATTTCCTTCTATATAATTGTCCTTTTTCATTTCACATTCAAGCACTGTCTCACTAAAACCACATGCTTCAGAAGCAGAGAACAAGTAAAGCTACGGTTATCTTCCATGCCCAGTTACCTCCCACTGCTGAGTACCTGCTATTCTGACAAAACATTGGGGTTTCAGAAACCAGAGGATCTTAATGCCACCTTGGAGAAACGCATGATGCATGAGGTAAAGCACACCTAAACTGTGTACTGCAGGACACAGACAGAGCCTGTCTGCAAGCATTGCCGAGGGCTCGAGCAGAGCGGTAGCAGCTGTCAAGGAAGACCTCACAGGGGAAGTGACATTTGGATAGGGACTTGATGGACATGTGGGATTTGTCATAATAAGGGTGAGGAGCTGGTCAGTGAGAGCAGGGTATTCCAGACAGACACATGTAAAAGGGCAAGATGCCATTAACAAGTAAATATAATCAGCATGGCTAGAGCCGGGTGCAGCGAAAGCATGACTAGGGCATTAGCAGCCAGCATCAATGCAATGCAATCTTACTGTTTTCCTGTGAGCCTCCGCTTGGTAGAAATTCCTTTATACTTTGAAAAGGACATCCGCACCCATAACATTTCCCAGCAAATGCCCTGATAGTCAGAAATGTGCTACATATATTGTCTTTGGGAATTTGCCAGCTGGCCACACCCCTTACCCAGCAGAGCAGGAAGGCTGACTGCCCAGCAGCACGCACATGCCTCAGATGTGTTCTGAGGAATTCTGGAGCAGGGTAGGGTTGGGCTGGCAGATACAGGAGGCCCCTAGAAAATTCGGGATGAATTCCCTCCCAAGCAGAAGCTTCAAATTAGGATGGAGAAATCTTTGAGGTAGTTTTCCTTTTTTCATTTGTCTGTCTTTCTTTTTCTCTTTTTTTTTTGCTAGTCCTGGGGCTTGAACTCAGGGCCTGGGCACCTGTCTCTGAGCTACTTTTGTTCAAGGCTAGCACTCTACCACTTGAGCCACAGCACCACTTCTGGCTTTTTCTGTTTCTGTGGTACTGAGGAATGGAACCCAGGGCTTCATACATACTAGGCAAGCACTCTACTCTAAGCCATATTTCCAGCCCTGGTAGTTTTCTTCATAAATCACTCAGATCCTAGACCACAGCAGCAGTCTCTAAGTCACATTCCTATAAACACAGAGGAGCAGCACGAGGAAGAGGAACTTTCTTACCTCTTCCAGACAGTGGTTTCTGGCTTATGACTCAAGACCATTCATACAAATATAATAAGCTGTGCTTTGGGACTTCAGTCCTACTGCAGAGAGTAGCCCTAATAACCAACAGAATGGCATCTCTATGGGTGGTAGTAGGATCAGAAGGAAAAGGCCCTAGGGCAGAGATGCACCTAGACCCAGGAACTTCTTCCTACCAAGTGTAGCTTTTGAGCCCTGTGCTGGTGGCTCATACCTGTAATTTTAGCTACTCAGGAGGCTGAGATCTGAGGATCATGGTTTAAAGCCAGCCTGGGCAAACAAATCTGAGACACTATTATCTCCAATTAACCAGAAAAATGCTGAAAATGGAGGTGTGGTTCAAGTGGTAGTGGTAGAGAGTCAGCCTAGAGTGAAAAAGCAAAAAGAGCATGAGAGGGCTGGGAAGGTGGCTCAGTGGTAGAGTGCTTGCCTTGCATGCATGAGGCCCTGGGTTCAATTCCTCAGCAACACATAAGCAGAAAAAGCCAGAACTGGCACTGTGACTCAAGTGGTAGAGCGCTAGCCTTGAGCTAAAGAGCTGAGGGACAGCGCCCAGGCCCAGGGTTCAGGCCCCACGACTGGCAAAAAAAAAAAGCATGAGACCCTGAGTTCAAGCACCAGTGTCAGCACAAACCACAACAGCTTTGTGTTTTCCTGAATCTACTAGAGGACTTCCCAGATATGTTCAGGAAAAGAATGGACTGAAGGAAAATTAAGAGGAGCATTAGGGACAGTGTACCCTGAAAACCTTTGTAGGTCAGGGCCAGATGTGTTTAGAAGTAGAGTTCAAGCAAAATGTGTGTGTGACGGGGGACAAGAACAGTCTCTTCCACTTTTCGGTCATTCATCTTCTCTCCCTGTTTTCTTTTTTTTTTTTTTCTTTCTTGTCAGTCATAGGGCTTGAACTCTGGGCCTGGGCGGTGTCCCTCAGCTCTTCAGCTCAAGGCTAGCACTCTACCATTTAAGCCACATTGCCACTTCTGATTTTCTGGTGGTTTACTGGAGATAAGAGTCTCATGGACTTTCCTGCCCAGGTTGGCTTTGAACCTTGATCCTCAGATTCCTTAGTAGCTAGGATTACAGGCATGAGCCACCGGTGCCTGGCTCTTTTTTCTTTTGCCAGTCCTGGGACTTGAACTCAGGACCTGGGCACTGCCTCTGAGCTTCTTTTGCTCAAGGCTAGCACTCTGCCACTTGAGCCACAGTGCCACTTCCTGCTTTTTCTGTATTTGTGGTACTGAGGAATCAAACCCAGGGCTTTAGGCATGTTAGGAAAGCACTCTACCACTAAGCCACATTCCTAGCCCTTTCCTCATTTCATCCTTCTAAAGTCAGAGTCTCTAGGTCTGAGACCTAAAAGAACAAAGGAAAAGGGTCTTTCCTTCCTTTTTATTCTCCCCCAAACATCTCTCAGCAGACAAGAATTGTATTCTTCCAAGCTTTCCCCACCTAGTCTCCCAATGTGTTCAGACATGTACAATCTGCACTAGCTGTGATCCTATATCCTAACTTCTCACCAAGGAGGAAGAAAACATCAAGCACTGAACCATAGAAGCAAATGCAATTTTTCCAGCTCAAGTGACTTATACTGAGAGTCACTGTGCTCACCTTAATTTAGGAGAAGTCCTCTCCCTGGGAACAGGGTCTGTGATAGAGGCTGTCTTTGGGATTTGATTCAAAATCAATAAACATGCTCCTTTTGCTCAGTTTTGTTCTAAACCCAGAATCAAGTTGAAAAGGTAATTATGTTGAATAAGAAGCTAGGAGTACTGTTCTTGAGGAGATGATGTGTCAAACTAAGAATAGGAAGGTACAAAGAGAAGAGAGTGAGGGAGATGTTCCTTTAACAGCAATTATCTTGGCTGTATAAAGTATCTTTGTTCTCTAGAGCTTAGTGTACTTTCTCATTTCTTCGTATCCCTCTAAAGGATGGGAGGCATGGAAGATGACTTTCTGCCTAAAATTACACTGTGCCACTTTACCATGGTGCAAAACTGAGGCCCTGTCCTTTCTACCTGCTCCCAGAGGCAGGGGTCTAGAGCCCCAAAGGTGTGCTCTGAGTCCAAGTAAATTATAAGTTCCCATAGAGAAGAAGCTAGGTTCTATATGTGTTCATGTGTGTCTTAGTACCCATACAATGTCTTATAAATAGGAAAGAGGATAGTGGTTTAGATATTAAAATTGCTTTGTTTTTCTACTTAAAAAACATGTTTTAGGGGCTGGGGACTGGTGGTTCACATCTGTAATTCTAGCTACTCAGGAGGCTAAGATCTGAGGATCATGATTGAAAGCCAGTCAGGGCAGGGAAGTCCATGAGAATCTTATCTCCAATGAACTACAAAAAAACTAGAAGTGGAGCTGTGGCTCAAGTGGTAGAATACTAGCCTTGAGAAAACAACAACAACAAAACACCATAAACTCAGGGACAGAGCCCAAGCTCTGAGATCAAATCCCAGGACCAGCACACACAAAAAATGTTTTAGGGAATTGCTATGTTTTCAAAGGTGGCCTCAAGAACTACCATAATCCTGTTTATGCAGTTGCTGTACTCCAAGCTCCAGGAAAAGCACAATGCTCTTTCTTCTTGTCTGAGCTCCTTAAGTGCCTCTGAACTCCTCTGGGAAACCTTCCCTCATGGCCTCTTTGTGTTCCCTCTGGGCCCTGTGCTTGCTTCTGCCCCTAACTTTAGGGGGATGCATGATATTCTAACTATTTGGTACACAATTGACCAGTGAAAATATGTTTGACAAATGCTTATGTAAGTGTTCGTAACTGATCAGGTTGCAGTCCTGAGGGGTTAAAGAAAGGAGCTGTCAGTTTCTATGACTTAGGGTCAGATCTATTTTAGAGATACAAATAAAAACTAAGGTCATACCTTTAAGACAGATCTAACAGCTATTTAAAGAGAGGATAAGCTGGGCACTGTTGGCTCACACCTTAATTCTAGCTACTCAAGAGGCTGAGAACTGAGGATTGGGGTTCAAAGACAGTCTGGCCAGGAAAGTCCATGAGACTCTTACCTCTAATTAACCATCAAAAAGCCAGAAGTAGGGGCTGGAAAGGTAGCTCAGTGGTAGAGTGCTTGCCTTGCATGCATGAGGCCCTGGGTTTGATTCCTCAGCACCACATAAGTAGAAAAAGCCGGAAGTGGGGCTGAGGCTCAAGGGGTAGAGCACTAGTCTACAGCTGAAGAGCTGAGGGACAGCGCCCAGGCCCAGAGTTCAGGCTCCACGACTGACAAAAAACAAAAAAGCCAGAAGTGGAGCTATGGCTCAATCGGTAGAGTGCTAGCCTTGAGCAAAAATACTCAGGGAAAGCACCCAGGCCCCGAGTTCAAGTCCCAGGACCAGACAAACAAACGTACATTAAAAAAAAAAAACAAAAAACAAAACCTAGACAGTCCCAGGCTCAGACCCAAGTGTAGATGAAGGCAAATGATTTCTTTCTTTCTTTCTTTTTTTTTTTGGGGGGTCCGGTCATGGGGCCTGAACTTGACCTGGGCACTGTCCTTCAGCTCTTCAGCTCAAGGCTAGCGCTCTACCACTTGAGCCACAGCGCCACTTCCAGCTTTTTCCTTTTTGCTTTTCTTTTTTCTTTTTGTGGTCCTGAGGAATCGAACCCAGGGCCTCAGGCATGCAAGGTAAGCGCTCTACCACTGAGCTACCTTCCCAGCCCAAGGCAAATGATTTCTATAGCAAAAGTTCTCCACTGGATGCCACCTCCATTCAGTACAGACCTATTTCCTTACTTCAACTGCCGAGTACAAGAAACAGCCTTTTAACTTGAGAAGAGAGATCCTTTTAACAAACGGATTCCTCATGTGTGTACTATGCAGCCACACTAAGGATGAGTTGGTTGTGGCAAGGCCAGAATGGTTGAATGCTGTTCCGCAGTGAAACCTGAGAATGAGTTCAGTCAATTTAACCTGCAGCAAGAGGTGTAGGTAACAGGAATCCTGACCTGTAACAGAGAAGGAACAGCCAAAAGCCTCCATGTTGATGCTTACCCTCCTGGATTTCACTGGGGGCTTCTTTTTGTTCAGGCCTTGGCTGGAAGTCTCCATCTTGGCCCTGAGGAATTGTTAGTGGTTAGTGACGGTGGCAACATTACCGCATTCAAGCATATGTAGCCTGAATGAATATTTCAGCAGGTTGGCTATTTTTATACCACTCCTGGCTGGCAGGGAAAATGGTGTGGCCAAATTTTCTTTGGGTGCTGCTTTAATTCACAATAGAATTCCAGTTTGAGATATTTAAGTGCATGACATTTCAGAAAGAAAAATGTAACTGACAGAAGTTACCATATTCTGAAATACTTGATTGTACATAAAAACCCAGAAGAAGGGAAGAGCTAAGGTCACACCTCTATGAAATTCCCTTTCTCAGCTCTGAGTTCCCTCACTCCACTGGCTTGGAACAGAACTCCCTGCTTGAGGTTGACATGCATCTGGAAGGCACAGATCAGGTCTTCATGGTTTTCCCGTGCTACTCCTGAATGTCTAAGGGTCCATACAATCCAATCATATCACCTCAAAAGAGCAGTGGCCTTCTGTGAATGTGGGGTGAAACTACCTAGCGCTAGGCTGAAAGGCACACCAGGCCTCTCTGGATACTAAGACTAACTAACTTGTCTTTCCAACTCAACTGTCCTTGATAGAAAACCCAAAGAATAAGATCGGTGTTGGTGGCTCATGCCTGTAATCCTAGCTACTCAGGAGGCTGAGATCTGAGAATTGCAGTTTGAAGCCAACTCAGGCAGCAAAGTTTATGGACTCTTATCTCCAATTCATTACCAGAAAGCCAGAAGTGGCACTGTGGCTCAAAATGGTAGAGTGCTAACCTTGAGCAAAAAAAGCTCAGTGCCCAGGCCCTGCGTTCAAGCCTCATGACTGACAAAAAATAAAAAAAATAAATATAAACATCCTCCAAAACAGTGCCATCCATATGTTGGGATGTGCTTAAAATTCCTTGCAACAATTCATATCCCACTAATAACTGAAATGGATATTTTAAAACATATATAGTTTACCTATATTGTGCTTAATGTTTCAGAGAAGTTTAAAAGCCACTGGTGGCTCACATTACAATTCTAGCTATTCAAGGAGCTAAGATTTGAGAATCACAGTTTGAAGCCAGCCTGTACTGGCTGTAAGACTCTTTTTTTTTTTTTGCCGGTCATGGGGCCTGAATTCTGGGCCTGGGTGCTGTCCCTCAGCTCTTCAGCTCAAGGCTAGCGCTCTACCACTGGAGCCACAGTGCCACTTCTGGCTTTTTTCTTTTTGCTTA